AATGGCAAGAAGCAGGGTGTCTTGACCTACATGTCTTTTTATTTTTGCGAGTTGTTTTATTTCTCTTATACTTGAGCAATTTTAATGCATCATTCTGTCTAGATGTTTTAGAAATAAATTGGAAGTGTTTGGTTATCTGAGGATGTGAGCTAGCAAGTCTCTTTCAGAGGCACTGGCTGAAACATCTTGCTTGCTCTTTTTTAGGTTGAGTGGTGGAAGCAGTATTTTTAATGCTTAGGAGTTCATTACTATAATCTCACTATTGCAGAAGAAAATTAATTTTTAGGGCAAAAAAGTCTGGATTTTTTTTTAAACTGGATTCTTATAGTGTAATATGGTCTTGTTCATTATATTCAGCGTGTACCAACTGAATTTGTTGGAAGTTTTCAGAAGACGGGGTAGGGACTGAACTACAGCTCTTGTTACAATGAGGAGAGTTTGTTCTATGCTCCATTCCTAATGTGGTACACTTACCCTTTGGTATGCATTATTTCCTAAATCAATAAATAAGCTGTAATGGAAAAGGTAGCATTTAATAAGGAACGACATTGTATGGGGTTTTTTTTACAGACAGCATAATATATTGATTCAGCTATCAAACCTGTAAGAGATTAGTTTAAATTGCAGAAGCTGGGGAATAGGGTCAGTTCTTATACATATTTTTGTTATTGTTGTGACTGTTAAATATCTACCATTAATTAATCCTTTTTTTCTCCCAACTTCCATATAAATCATATGGTGTTCTGGGGAAACAAGAAACTATATTAATGAGCATCAACTCCCTAATTATCCTTGTGACTACATAACAGGGACATATTCATGTCATTCCTTTGTGCAATAACTTTTGCGAAGAAGTATTTTTAAACTGGTCATTAATTTTATGACCACAGAAATTAGATGCAAAATTTATGCTGTTGTCATTGGCACAGGTTCAAGGCACTACTGACATTATATGTGATTGGAATGGAATGACTGCCAACTAATGAGTCTATAGACATTTGGTTTGAGCATGCTTTGCCTTTAGATGTCTGATTAGGCAGCAATGCTTTCAATTATGCCTGCAAATTGTATTGGATACGTTTACCTGATGCCCATTGTTGCTTTGTAGTTCAGTGTTCTATTACATAAGTGCAAGTTGATTGCTTTTCTTTAATTTATTGATGCTTTTTGGGTGTATTTTTAGGTACTTGGCACCTGAAGAGAGCAGTGGTTTATGCTGCTCAACACTGACTCCTATGATTGTTCGAGGAGTAACACATGGAGCTTCAAATGCAATTCTGTCTGCTCTTACTCCGTAGGTGGAGTATGAACTGCAGCGCAACACATTGATGGAGGAGAATGTAAAATGGAGGAAGGGCAGAGATTATTCTGAGTGGGAATGTAGGAGATTTCACAGAATCAACACGAAGCCTCTCTGTGAACTGTGTGGAGCAAAATCTTTATATATTAATAGCATACACACCTGAGATGTCTTTTAACCCTGAAAGAATTGGAGGCAAAACCCAAAAGATGATACCAGAAAGTAGTCATTCTTTTATGTAAGGACATAAACACATTGTGAGATGTTGCCTCCAGAGCACATTGAGTCACCTTTCCTACCGAAATGCATGCAGTTAGGTACAAATTAGATGATTTAAGGATTACATTTTTCAGGGTATAATACAAATTTACAAATGCATTTATATACTGTAAAATAAGAAATGAAAGATTTTGTTTGTTTAATCTAGTCCTGCATGACTGCAGGATGCTTATACCTCTGTTTAGTGTCTGTCCCCTGTTGTCCACATTTCTCATTTAAAGTGTGAGTACCTAAATTATATGACATATGATTTATTTATTTGTTCTGATTGTGTTTCTCAGTGAGGGCTTTTTTTTCATCGAAGTCTTCAGGCCTTATTTAGGATTTAGCACCTAGAGAATGCTTTGAAGTCTATGAAGCACTGAGTGTGTAATTTCTTTTTTCATAATACCTCAACATTTTTCAGTTGTTTTAAGAGCACTTTGAATTTGGATATTGTAGAAATAGAACAGATACTTGTTTTATTATAAATCTACATTCAGTGTTGCCATGTTCTTTGATGTTACAAATACAGTATATACCTGTGTCGTGGTTTAACCCCAGATGGCAACTAAGCCCCACATGGGATAGAGGAGATAATGGGAAGGGTAAAAGTGAGAAGACTCATAGGTTGATATAAAGTTTAGTAGGTAAAGCAAAAGCCACACATGCAAGAAAAGCATAACAAGGAATTCATTTGTTGCTTCTCATGGATAGGCAGGTGTTCAGCCATCTCCAGGAGAGCAGGACTCCATCACGTGTAACAGTGACTTAGAGAGACAAACATCATCACTCCAAACATCCTCTCCTTCCTTCCTTCTTCCCCCAGCTTTATAGGCTGAGCATGACATCTTAGGGTGTGGAATATCACCTTGGTCAGCTGGGATCAGCTGTCCCAACTGTGTCCCCTCCCAGCTTGTGCACCCCCAGCTTTCTTGCTGGTGGGGTGGTGTGAGAAGAAGAGGTCTTGACTCTGTAAGCACTGCTCAGCAGTAACTAAAACATGCCTATATTATCAACACTGTTTTCAGCACAAATCCAAACATAGCCTGATACCAGCTACTATGAGAAAAAGTAACTCTTTCCTAGCCAAAACCAACACAATCTGGGATAGGTACAAGGTATGCCTCAAATATATTTGTTTGTATTTATGTATTAAAAAGTCCTTTGTTCCTAGATCTTAGCTTTTATATGAAATTAAAGCACAAATGTTTAATGAATTTGAAATCCTAAGCATACTTGGAAAATAGTAGTGTGGTGACTTAATGGAAGAGCAAGGTAACAGTGCAGCTATGCAGACTTACATAAGAGATTATGTATTGCTGAGTGGGGCAAAATTCCCTGGAGATGTTCTTTCTACATACATACTCAACTATTTTTCATCCATTAGTGCTATTCATGCAAATATACTAAGGTTTACAGTTCAACCCATGAATTTTGAGTGCTAGAGTGTGGTGTTTGTGGAAATGTTTTCCTCTAGAAATACAGCCTAATATTTTAAATTTATACTGTCACCTTCATGAAGGTTAAATGATAGTATGTTTATGCATAGCTGATAAGAGGACATTTTTGATTGACACCCAGGGCTTACATATACACATATATTCTATGCATTCTAGTACGGGTGAAAGTTTAGGACAGGAAAAGAGTGGAAAAACTTTTGCTATTGTATAGGTTGTAAATATCACGTCTACTCTTTTTATATGGAGTCTCTCATCTAATAAAGATATATATAGGCAGAGAGAGACAGGCCAACTGGTCTCTGGCATCTAAGTGTGAAAGATGATCATGCTGGCTGTAAATAAGGCATAATATTTTCTGTTCATGTGCTATCTACTCTCTGGTTTTTTGTTTGGAGGAAGAGGTGAATCCTGGAGAGGGATAATTTACTTTTGATTGGTTTGACAGGTGTGATGAAATGCAAGTATTTTGATCAGATTAACACGATGACTGGCGTGCTACTGGGAGAGGGCTGTGTCAAAAATAGATTGGAGTCAGGTTCAGATTCAGAGCAGTTGTTAAATGGCGTGAGAGCTTGAAAGGAAGCTTTCCCAGGAAAAGCATACTAAATTAATGAAGGGAAAACCAATTTAGTATTCAACAACCTTGGCATGTTAAAGAATTCCAGCAAAGCAAGTATCAGGCTTCGTTGTCTTATCTGCATAGAAAACTTTCTGTTCTTTGCAAACAACCATGGTGCTTTCTGGACATGGACTGTGAATTTTCCATGAATTTCCATTATTGAATAGGAAGGGGTAAACTTTCAGCCATGATTAGGCAGTCCTACTGATGAACACAACTCCTGTGTCTGTGGAGAAGAATATTTTCACTATACAGGGGGTTTATTTTAGATTCTGCGAAATGAGTTATCCTATACAGTGCTCCAAAAAAGAACACATGAATAAAAAAGGATATCTGGAGGTCTCTGGAAAGCTTTCTGTGTACGTGTATACAAAAAGGCAATGCTTGAACAGTTTACTGCTACATGGTTTTTAAGAAATTTGAGGGTCATTTTATCTATTGGTGCATCAACTTTATGATTCTCATCTGGTGATTTTTGCCATATTTAGTTTTTCCCCTTCACCAAGACTTGATTTTTTTTTTTTTTAAGGAGCAATGTAGTTTATATTCTTTTTCAAACTCTTTTTGCCTAGATGTATTAAACATATCTGAGAAAATATAGTGAGTTTTGGGAGGGAGAACTTTAATTTTGTCTAATTAGATGAAAGCCTCAACTAATATTGATTTCAGTTTATCTTTCCCAGACCTCCACACTTGTGCATGACACTGATCAGAGTGCATTAGGTCAACTGATAATGTAGATTTTGTATCTATTGTAATGGAGCTCTCAGTTGTGTAAGAAATTAATTAACAGAATGCTGCATTAAACCACAAGTTCTGTCAGAAGGTGATTCCACTTCTGGTTTCTTGGGAAGAATGCACATACAAATTTGCAAAGCAGAGCCTAATTATAGTGAAAAAAAGTGAAAGTGGGCAGAGGCTGACAAACTGCTGCCAACTATACTTTGGCATTTCCTGGGAGGGAAGTCGCTGCGGCTCCATCCTGCACTCGGACAGGCAGAACTTTGGAGCCTGGTGCTATCCTTGTTTCCTTCAGCCAGTGTTTTCCCTTGCCCAGCTCTTTGCTGTGGTGTGTGTTTGTTTCACCCCTGTGTGAGAAGCTGCCAGCTGTGTGGTGCTGGAAGCAGCTTTATTATATGACAGCAGTTAGGGAAACCGCTCCAGCAACGTGTTTGCATAAAGGTAGCCCTAGAACTGCAGCGCTCACAGCTGCACTGGAGCCTATGAGTGTCCGTGAGAAATAGGAATTTTTCTGTTTCAGATAGGAATTGATATCCTCCTTACTGTCAAAAATACTTTTATTCTGTCTGTGTTTGCACGATACACTATTTAACCAGCAGTATATTTCTGACTTTTACAGAACCGGAAGATGAGGACAAGTCTGAGAACTCTCTTTCTTCGCCTCCTGATAGTGTCTCAATAGCATCTTACCGATACGATAAAGAGGATGAAGCACCTTCTGATGGTATGTGACACTCTTTACCTTAGAATGTACTAGATTTGCCAGTTTGCTATGAACTCATGTAATCGGATCCTTGTGATGCGAATGTTAGTGTTAGAAAACAGATAAACAGATAAGCATCACAGCTGGACAGTTTTCTTACCTTTACAAGGACCTTTAAAGGAACTGAAGAGCTCTCTCTAGTGGTCCTTGAGCATAGTGAAGCTGTCTCAAATTTACATGGTGTTTTCAAACTCATGTTTTTTGATAATAAAGCATCTTCTGTAGATGCATATGTTTTTAAAGATAGATCAGTGGCTAAAACAGTGTGAATATTTGTAGTAACAAATTGTTTGTTAATTCAACATTATCAGATTCTTGCTTAATTTTATTGTGCTACTTAATGGCTTACTGTATTATTTATCTATTAAATAATGAAACAGTTTATGTGATTGATATTTTTCTGCAAACTCCATGCAGAATAGGTTCATAAAATATTAAATTAATTATTCCTACAATGTTTCCTTCCATTAAGACAGTTTTCATTATATAAATTTTAAATTTGAGTTTGCATTTAAAAAAAAAAAACTAGGCTCCATAGCTGTTTTCCATGTTGCTTTATTCTGTATTCATTAAGTTTAATGCTAAATGCGGCTGTTCTGAAGACATGAACAATTGAATATTTCAACAGTTAACAAGCTTGCTTTAGCATAGTGTCCATATTTTTGAGATTTGTTTATTGTATATGTAATATAAATACCTTCAATGGATAATATATGGCAATAAATTAAGTATATGTACAAATAAATTAACGATGTATATTAATTTGTGGCACTAGAAGTTAGATAGACTTACTAGTGAATGATGTTTTCTGACATGATATGATGATCAAACTGTGCAGCTCCATCTCGAAATACAATTGCTGAATGAAAATATGCTTCCTGCAACATAGCACTCCACATTTTATGTTATCCAGATTATTCCCTTTGGAAACATAAATTGCTTTTATGAGGTATAAAATTATGTCTATTGCAGAACAGGGATAAGTCAAGTACATGCATAAGTGATAAACCTTCTAACCACTGATTCAGAATAACGCAATTTTTTTATGTCCAGAAGTCTGTAAAATGTGTAACAATAATAATCACACTTTTTTTTCTTTTTTTTATATTGAGCTTATTTCATGTTGGCAGTGTGACCTTCTATTAAAAAAATAAAACCAGGCCTTTTTGCTCTCTGGTTAAAATGTAATTATCACTCAAATTGAATATGGCTTTTAGAAAACCCAAGCTAATTTTCAAAACTACAGATGAATGCAACTTTCCATCTATTTATTTTTGCTTACAAGCATAATCTTACCATTATTTCTAATTGTAACTTAATAACATGGTACTGATTGCATAAAGGGTATGTGACAAAATTATATGACTATTTAATAGGAGATATGATTATAGAATTGTTTCAAAATAGTTAATAAAAAAAAAAAGTGATAATGTTCATAAACCTAAATAATGAATGACTGAGGAACGCTGATGCGAGAGTATGTGAAATACCCAATGAGTTTGTACAGATAAGTGATTAATTTTGGCCTATTTTGAAGCTATGAGAGTAGGTATAATAGCTGCTCAACAATATCTTTGCTAACTTTTACCAGTTGAGCTAGAAATGTAGTGGGTACAGTTCTGTTGAATTTGTGGTGATATTACTGGTCTTTCTGTATTTCATGATAAATGCTCTTTAATTCCCTAGTGAGAGTGCAGCACTAGGAAAATTTGAGAGAAGGTGGTAAATTTTAATCTGTAAATACTTCCATTTACTGGAGTAGTGTTCCTGTTTTTTCTCTTGGAATGTCCAGTGTGTCATTCTAAGTCCATTTTGATTTTAACATATATATAATCCATCATTCCAGTCTAGCCACCTAGACTTTGAAAAGGTATGTTGGGAGAATCTTCTGAGAGGTGGATTGATCCTCAGAGGTGCCTTTGGTTTGGTCCTTATAGGCATGAATGGGTTTGTTAAAGCTTAATACTGTATTTTTGTTTTCTAGCAGTCTGTTAATGTTCAATATTTAAATCCTACTCAGGAAGCTGAGTTTGTAAGGTACATGTTTGATCTTACACGATTACCAGTTCAGTTCAGCAGGGCTCTGTGCAGGTGTAAAACCTGATTTGTGTAGGATCAATGCTCTTAGCGTTAACAGAGGGCCCTATTTGTAGGTAACCAAATTGAGTTGATTTTTAGTTATGTTTGAGTTCCATTCATATTTTTATGTAAAACCTTCTGTGTACATTTTCTGCTAAAAAACCCCCAAAACAAAATGGGCATTTCTCTTTATATACTCGAGTTAGACTGCAAGGTTTGTGTGACTTGTGAAAGTGTCACTATTTGACTTTGCAGCCTTACTGTCAAAACATAATTTGTGAAGGCACCCGCTTGGTAACAGATAAAGCATTAATGTATTATGCGTATGCTACAGTCATTGTAAAATCGTGGAGTTTTTGTGTGACCTTTGTCTAATGGTGTATTAATTACAAGAGAGATAATCCATTTAACAATAAGTATGGGATAACTAAATTAGCACAGGTCACCTAAAGGCCTTTTGTCAAATCTGATTGTTATGTTGTCCTTTTGACTTTTACCTTATGGTAGGCACTAACAAAGTATCTAAACTTTGATGGATTATAAACTCTAAACATGATATGTATTTTTCATAATGCTAATGTAATTTTCTAGGTACTGAAAAGGTCAAACCCCCACGTCTCTGTGTGCATTCTAAGTCTGTCTTTCCTTTTAGTATTTCTTTTTCTCTGTTCCTCTGGTTCAAAAGTTCACTCAGTTCCCAAATGGCCACCTAATTTTCCAGTTATTCCCTCAAGCCATATGTGTTTTGGTTTCTTTATGGTTTATTAGGTACTGTAGGAAAGTAGCATAAGTTATATCATCTAATGAAATTCAAGCACACTTCAGTGATGCTTTGACTTGATTGCTGGCAGCAATTAAATCACAACGAAGGAGAATGATGCATAGGCTTACATATCCAGACACCCTACAGAAATTGGAAGAGGGATAAAACACATGAAAACCCCCAAATAAAATAACAAAACCCAAAAACAAGACAGACCAAGCAAAACAGCACTGCCAGGCACTCTTGTCTTAACTTGATTTTTTTTTTTTATTGGCTAACAGCCTGATTGATAGCAAAATCATAACTTGCTGTATGCTAACAGGCAGAGTTCACTTGTAGGTTATTGTGAGCTGATAAAGGGTTAGATGGAGTTTTGATTTTCGCATTGGTCCTTGGTGCACCAGATTAATGGAATTTCAATGAGAGACTGGAGTAGTCACAGCTTTGTCAGAAAAACAGATGGAGATTCTATAGCCATGTCTGCTCATTAATACCAGTTGCCTGAAAGGTGTACTACTTCTCTATACAAAAGACTCAACATAATTGATTTTTGAGCGGGGTATTTTTTCACTTATTGATGACTAGGTTTCTTGCAACTTAAATGACAGGTTTTTGTATAGTACATTGTATAACAATGTTATGTCTGGTAATTTCTTACTCCCATCTGTATTTTGAAGAATATGTGTAGTGGGAAATAGATATGTCTTGATTAGTTAAAAAACAAAGTATACCAAAATACTTAAAAATTGAAATACTAGGACTTTCTTTCAAGTTGGTAACAAACTTGTTTTTGGTTGAGATGTCAGTGGGGGAGAAGTTACTATTTTTCATTTACTTTCCACATTTCTTAGGATGGTATTAAATATAGGTTCAAGGGTAGGCTGAAACTTTCCTATTTAACAATGTAATCTTCTTCTATAATATAAAGGTATTTTTTTAACTGTAATTTTTTTTTGGTTTATGGTATGTTAATTTGATTCCATGAGTAGGAAATGCCGTTAGTATTTAAGGAACAAACGTTCTGACTTTGTAAGTACTGAGTGAGAGAGAACCTCTGAAGAAGACGTGTCTACTTAGCTCTACAGAGAGTATGTCACTCGATAATAACTGGATCTAAAAATGCAGTGAGCGCTGTGATAAAATAATTTAGATCATCACCATTTCTACGGAAGGTCAGAAATGTTGCCTTGAGTATGTAAGGATGAAAATGTGTCTGGGGACTTGTATGCTCTTCAAACTATTATATTAGGCTATAGCTTATGAATAAAATATGGTTTTTAGTAGAAAATTCTTAAACAGTGTGAGGATCTCATATTAAATCTCCCCATAGCTGAAGTGGAGGAAGGTAGGGCTAAAGCAAGCTAAACAGGGCCTTTGGAGAACTTTGAGGAAACAGAATAAATGAAAGGGTTGTGCTTGAACTGTTTGTTATCAAAGTGCAGTCTTTGAAAACGAGCAAAATTTATTGCTCCTGAAATGTACGTTTCTTGCTATAATTTTTGGATGAAGCAACAGGCCTTGGCACTTTGTTTTCATGAAGCTCCTTTGGAAAAGTTCTATGCAAGTCTTTGCAGGCTTGAGTCAACTATTTTACATGATCTATAGTATTTACTTTGTATGAAGATCACGTTTTGCATTTTGATTGATCAAGTGAGAATGAAAAATTTTTTGACTGAGTTTTGCATGCTGCTTTTTTGACATTTTAAGTCTCAAATACAAGTACTGATTAAGCTTTTTTTCCCCCTCCTCTTATTTTTTCTGTTTGTTAGGCACAGAGGTTCGAATACTGTCACTGAAGAAGGGGGTAGAGTTCAGTGTAAGACTTTATGCCCACTTTCTTCAACGACATACCTACTGAGTTTATTTTTGAGGCATTATATTAAAGCAAAAACTGTGTTCCATCACAGAGCCAGTTAAGCAGTGTTAGCAAGTAAGCAAGGTAGTAAAGGTTGGAGAATGGAAAATGCAACTAGGATTTTCTGTCCTTTCTCTTTTTGTCCTTCTTATGTCTCCACTCTTATATTGGTTTACCACTACTTTAGTAACATAATCATGTACATGTTTGCTTGTCTTGGGAATGACAGTGTTGAAAGTTTACCTGAGTTATTCTAGATTAGTT